TTTTCACTTGGCTGGCCGAGATTTCTTCATTTTAAGATTTTAGAATTTTTGTGTCGGATTGACAAAGTTGCGCTTGTTGGTGATGAATTTGCGGGGAGATGTGCTGCGGTTGTTTTTATGAATGAATTTACTTGGCCTTGAGAAATATGCGCATGCGTTTATGAAAGAAATAGTTATTGTTGTATTTGAGTATGCGCGTAATTATGTGCATATGTATGTATGCTGCCGTGAGTTGTAAATATGTACATTTGTGTGTATGTGCGTAGTATTTTGGCAGTAATATGCACATACATACATATATATGTATGCATGTAAAAACGTTATCAGTTAATGGAGTACGTATGCATGGGGGAAATGCATTTTCATTTGACTCCAAACTCTAAATATACGTTCTCTGTCACAATCATTTTGATTCACAGTAATTGCAGTCCACAGCCAATTTATCGTCCACAAAATTTTGCACCCTTTGCTTTGATTGGATGCTTCATCCACTACGACGAACGGTGAAAAGTTTTTCTCTTGTGTAAATTTGCAGAATTTCTGGTAAGTTTCCCCGAAAAAACGCGTTTCTTTAAAAAAAAAAACACTAAAGTGTTAATTTATCGTCGGTAAATGAAAAACAAATGATATATTAGAGCATGCCTTAGTTTTTTACAATTACGAATTTGTGAAAATGTGCGCCGTCGTTCTATTATAGAGCGCTGCAGCAGCGTCTGCAACAGTGGTGGCGCAAGCAGCCCATAGGAATAATAGGCGCAAAAGAAATCACGTCTTTACCGCTTCAAAAAAAGGATGTGTTTTTAAAAGTCACCTGCCGAAATAGCAGTTAAAAACTACAAGCATGTGGTTTCCTAAAACAAATTAAACTGTATTCCTAGAAAATATGCACCGTGGCATTGTGGTTACTGCGCAATCTAATTGACGCTGCCAGTCGGCCGACACCGCTGCTTGTGTCGCTGCTTTTTCAATTGTGGCTGCTTTGTTTTTGTTTCTATTTCGCTGTGTCGCTGACAGAGGTGCTGAGTAAATGAGTTTTGTTGCTATTCTCGACAATGATTCAATTGACTTGTATTGGATTGGGCGGGCGTTGAATAAGGTGGAACTGGCGCAAGAATATGTTGCAAGTTCATGGTGGAATAAAGGGCGAGAAGTTGGAATTAAACGCTCTTAAAATGAATCCTTTATTGCTGGCCTGAAATGTAACGACTGTGGCGATATCTAAGTAGGTACTACTTATCATGTGGGTGTGTGGGCGGGAGTCTTTTTGTGTGAAACGCCGCGGCCAACTTCATGGACAAGAAACGAAAGTTCGGCTGCTGGCACGCTAGCCGATGCGACGGCAACACGCAATTATAAGCGTGCTGTTTGCTGTTGAGACCTTCAGATGATTCATGTGTGAGCAATTTTGTATGTTTATAACTGCACGGGGCGAGTATTAACTTAATATACTCTTTGAAAGAAATTTATATACGTGGCTAATAACTACTCTATCAGATGGGTTTAGATCTAAAAGCAATTGAAAATAAAACCGACTTTACTACAATTTAAATAAATCCTTAAGTACCTATACATTTGTATGTATTTATAAACTTAAGTAGGTAATTGCACTTCGTATGTGTCAGCCCGTGCCGCGACAGTGCTGGGTACTTAATTGAAATGCAACGCATGTCATCACATTGTTGAAATTATAATTCCAATTGTCATATTCCTACAACTAAATGTGATTTTTGTACTCCTTCCGCAAGCCCCGTGCGGATTTGTGGTTTTATTAGAAGAGAATATGTATGTACATAGGTATGTTATTCATACGGCGGCAATTTATTTGACCAATCATTAGATTATAAGCGACTATTTTAACTATACGAAGGCACATCAAAGCCATAAAAGGAGCTACATAACTACTGGATACCTACTCATACAAATAAATAATTTCGCATATAATACGATTAATTTCTAAAACGTTTTGGATTTTATTCACACCAGATTGGTAAACAACGCTAAGTATCAGGATTAGGCAAACGATTCTTCAACTTTACCGTGACTTTTTATCAATCATCGCAAAGGTTTTGACGCATAAAAGCCATTTAGAGCACAAAAAACTATACAACCAGCCATTTACCTGCTTTAGTTTTACTCTATATCAATTTACATTGCTCGCTTGGCTTTGTAGTAAGCAAATAAAGATAAATTTCCATTAGCTTCCAAAGCTTTGTTTTGTAAGAAGATAAAGTGGAAAAGCAGTAAATCTCAAAGAATAGACGTAATATACCCATAGCCTGCATGCACATACAAACCTCGGCATTAGGCATGCGGAAATGAGTTATCAGTCTAATTGAGATAGACAACGCAAGTGGCAACGCACAAAATAGCTATAAAGAATTTGCGTTATTACCAAGATATTTAGCGTGGAGGTGTAGAAATAACATTGCTGGTATCTAATAAATGCAGGGGAATACAAAAAATAAGTGGGACACTAATAGAGTGTAGAGTAGCAGACGAGCGGAAATATCCAAGCAACGCGACTAAAGCGACTCGAACAGTCAAACGCCATCGCCGCCAGTCAACTTGCGGATGTCTGCTGGAGAGTAGATAGAAAAAAACGGAAGCAGAGGCAGCGCATATGACACAGTTATTATCGTGGTAGGGCTTCAACGCTAATCAATATAATAATAATAATAATAGATTGACGCTTACAAATATGTTAGTGTTTGGAAATACACTCGGCGATTTGTTATTGCCTGCCGAGGGGCGACCGCTATTAGAAATTATTGTTATATTGTTTTTTTTTTTATGTTGGGTTGAACCGGGCTTGAAACTAGGCCCTGCGGAATGGTAGGGCGCACTGCTAACCCCTTCACCACAGCGGCCGCTTGTTTATATGAGAAATACAAAAACAAAATAGTCTTCAAAACCTACAAAGTTAGAGGCCTAATAAATAATTCGACATGGTAAACATTTAGCTGCGTACGCCTACGTTTGCCCGTAAAATTGTCGTTGACCGACACTTGCGAAAGCCCATTCATACACATAATCTAAAAATTATTAATTGTTTTGAATTTTTATTCACTCTTACAGGGGGAGGTGCGAACAGTCGTTTGAGATAATCTCGATTTTCCTTCAATTTAAATTGAAGCATTTTTTATACAAGAAAATTACTTCAAACACACAGCAGCAATACAAACAACTATAGTTCCACGCTAATAAAGAATAAAAAAACCAAAAAATATCAATTGAACGACGAAATCAATTAACGATTTTAAACATTTAATCAAAAACCCTAACTCATCCACAAACAAACAAAAAAAAATGGCGCACATTGGACGTACAGTTAAAAATGTTGAGGCGCCACGCCCATTAAAATCACAATCACGCTCATCACTGAAAAACAACTACATGCTGATCGAGGAGCTAATACAATTGATTGAGAATGTTGCGTTGACTCTACAATCGGGCATAAACAATACGGAACCGATGGCTGCGCTAGTGCAAAATCTACGCATACACGGACCACAATTGGAAACTGTATCTAAAGATACATTAGACCGTGCATTCGTTGTGTTCCGCAATGCTTCGCAGGACGAACGCTTAAATATTATGACGAGACTGAATTTGCTCGAATTGATAGAGTTGCGCGCCAAAGGCTGGGAAGACAATGGCTTCAATTCGTACTACAAAACCAAACAAGTAACGAACATCGATGTGAGTTTAATTTTTATTTTACCTTGCATCTCTCCTGTATTTGAAAAGTTAATTTGCTAATTTTTTCATTTGTTTCATTTTAGCTAACCGATGGACATGTTGATCCAACGCAAACCGGGTTCCTAAGCACCTCCCCCACATTTGGTGGGGCTGGCGCCGCTGCGGCAGCAGCTATAGCAGCTGTTGGTTCGGCGCAGCAAACACAACTACTGTTGGCACCGGGTGAGGTCATACGAAATTCGGGAAAGTTTCCGAAACCAACTAAAATACCAGGCAAAACTTATTGCAAAGATGAAGTGGTTATACGCAATGCAGATTCGGGAAAAGGTATATATATTTGTAATTTATTCAAAAAGTTAGCAAACAACTTTTTCAAATTACTATCTATGAAGTGCTGTGTATGTTGTACTACAAGAAACTGTGACTTATACACAGTGAATATTTACATACGTATATTTTTTTTCACATAAACTCTATTTAATTACTCTCAACTCTCTGTGTTTTGCCTGTTTTCTTGGACATGCGTGCGCATAAAAGTAATGGGCATTAAAGGCAGACGTGTCCATATGATTGAGGAATTAAGTGAAACGATAATTTCCTTCCAAAGAGGTAAAAAATACAAAATGTACACAAAGTTTAAAAAAGTTTGCTTAAATCAGCATTGTTAACCGCATACCTTGATGTAAAAGAAAAACATATTTTTTAACAAATTCCGTGGGCTATGGCACTGTGTACGCTATTAACATTTTTTTTGTGGTTGCTTGCTGCTTTTAATCACCACTTTTGCATACGCTTCAATGCTGCAATAGCTTTAAGAGCGATAAGTTTAATTTTTCATTTCACTAAAATAAAGCTGAAAAGGCAATAACCAATAAAAAGATTTGCAAATATTTCATGTACTCAATTCATTTAACTTTAATTTAATTAATATTTGTTTATTTTGCATTTTCGAATTCTCATCTCATCGATGTAATAATTTCATGAAAGCAATTTCACACATTTTAAACATTCTGCATGCAAAAATACAGTGAAGCAGAAACATACATACATACATACAAATTAAATACATACACCATTTCACACGCCTGCATTGAAGCAACGAAAAATGCAGCTACCTGTAAATACTTATGTATATGTACATACTTAAATAAGCAAAAAAAATCATCTTAATTTTGCATTGAAATTTTCATTTTCATACTAAAAATATTTATCGAATGCGCTGTGGCTCAGCTTGCTAGTGGCTGCATACTTTGAGGTGGCATAATTTTGTCGTTGTCATCCTTAAGTTTATAGTGATCCTGCAAGTATGGGAGCCACTGTTTTGCTGTAGATAAACATTAATAATTTTTTCATAATTTTCGTTCCATAGTAAATCCTGGCGCTAAGGAACGTTTGGTGCAAATTACGGGACCGACTGAAGAAAAAATCAAGTAAGTTCTTAAAAATCTGCTCTACATTGAATTCGGTCATAGTCAACTTCGATCAGGTTTGATGTTTTACGCTCAAGAATGGTAGAAAATTAATTAATAATGTTGCAAATAAAAATCAACTGCCACAGGGCGAACATATTTAAATTATCCCCATTCTTAATAGTGCTTGCTCAACTTTTTAATTTTATATGAATTGAATAGTCTGATTTAGCATAAGCCTGCCTCTAGCATGTCTTTCAAATCTGCTTTCAACAAAAAGTTTCGTTTTGACTAAAAGGTGGTTTAACTTACGGCTTTGACCAAGGGCCTATAATTTTTTGGTCGCAAGCAATCCAACCTAACCTCACTTTCCTGGTGATTTTTTACTAAAGGATAAACTTTGCATAGTGTCCAATTTTGATTATTTTCGTCTTAATCTGAAAGCTCCATTTTTTTTGAATATCGGAAATAATCATTGAGATACATAGTTATGAAAATTTTCAATAATTAAACATATTGTGATTATTCTTGAGAGCTGGAACTAAGCTTAAATTTCGTAAATTTTCAGTGACTTTGTTAAGTATATTGCGTTCACATCCCTTTATTAAACTTTTTGTGAGTGATCACTCTTTTTCAATCTGCATAACTTTCAGACCAAATTTTATTAATTCATTTTCCTCTCACACCTCAAGCTATGCCAAACAACTCATCGAGGATACCATACGTCGCAATGCCTCACCTGTACGTCTCGATCCAATTATTAGTAGCGGTCATGCTGGTGGCGGCGGCGGTGGCTCTTGTTCTTCACTAGCGTCTTCCAATTCTGATGATGCCGTTACGCCACGTACACCAGGCGCTGGTGGTGCTGCCACAAGCAGCCTAGCTAATCGTCTAAGCTTCAATTCGGCGCAAAATTTCATGACTGGCTCTGCGGCAGCGGCGGCAGCAGCAGCAGCAGCTGCTGCACAACAGCAACAGGTCATGAATATGATGGGTGCCGTCGTTGGTAGCACTTCCACACCTACGGCTGCTGCCGCAGCTGCAGCTGCTGGTAAAGTGTTGCGTCCAAATCAGCAAATGTTATTGCATTCATTTTCCACCAATGATGCTTCTTTAGGTGAATACAAATACACGGTGAACGTGGGACAGCATCTGATAAAAATCACCGGCGATTGTTGTGACCTTGTGCGGGTAAGTAATATATGTGCGCTGACGAAAGTAAAAAAAAATAGTTTCAAATTTTGTTCGTTTATTAGGTTGCAAAATTAGTGCTGGATGATTACTTTAGCAGCGCTGAGTTCTTAGCTTCAGTGGAGGCTGGCGCCGCATTTGATGGCAGCATTGTCAGTCCGATTTCAACACCGTCCACGCCTATGGCTGCACCACAGTTCATGATGGGTACACCCTTGCACGCTGCACCACCGCTAGCAGATAGCGGAATCGGCTTAAATTATATGGCCGCACAGGCTGCCAATAGCGGTGTACATGATGGCGATGATGAAGTATTTGCTGATACAAATGGTTTGCTTTTCATTATTTCAAAAGTTTGCCAGTGAAATTCTATATTTACATGTAACTCTTTTGTAGCTGCAGGTCAAAGCAATGGCTTATCGCGTTCACGTAGAAGTCACTTTTCCCGTAAAGACTCTACACCAGAATCAGCAGCTAACTCAACAGCTGCACGTGGCAAAAATGATAACACCACTGCCGGCGCCGCCAGCGGCGATACGCGTAAGTGTGCTAGAGGTAACGGTGGGTACAAGGACATTCTAATAACATGTTTTGGTTTAACTTTACAGCACGAATTGTACACGAATACGAGCATTTGCTTTACTATGCGAAGAGTCCCCATTCCTGGGCACTGCCAGAGGAGTGGCAGAAAATCTGCGAAAAGTTCCCAGCCATCGTACGCAATAAGGTAACACAATTCAATGCCACAACAGGCACTGTTACTAATACAGCACCGATATTACGTGTTGCTTCCATTACTACCAATCCTACTATTTCTACTCCTACTTCTACTATTACTACTACCGTCACTGCAAATACGACCAGTACTTTGCCAAATATTGCTAGTAATAATAATAATAATAATATAAATAATCTCTATGCTAACGCCACAGTTGGCACCGTTGTTAGTGTCGTTAGTGCTAATGTAACGATTAGTAGTATAAATATGTCCACAAAAACTACAAATATGTTAGCGCAGTCACAACCGCCCACAGTTGTTAGTACAACACAAACACAGGCACAGCAGCAGCCTACACCTATGCACACCCACACTGGTGTCAGTTCAATCGCACACAATCGCCTGGTTTATGAGCTACAAACACCATTACATATCAAGCGAAAAGGTTTCTTTAATCGTCAAATTGTCAGTATTGATGAGGAGGGCTACGATGCGCTGCAACATCAGCAACATCAATACCATACAGAGCGTCATTATAATACTAATGTTAATGCTGCTGGCGCTAATAGCTTATATCACCGCCCCTATGGCCAACGAGCAGATGCTAATGCCAATAATAGCAATAACCAACAAGCAATGCACTATCAACAACATCAACATCACCACGCATTGAATCAGCATCAACAAAAATTTATGTCTGCGCGCCCAGGTACTACCACTCCCAATTTCAATTATGCTAATATGCTATATAACGGCGCTGGTGCACTACCACCGGCAACTACACAAGCGCCACCTACCAACAATGTTTCGGCTAGCTTTAATAATGGCAACAATACGGCTGGTAACTCCACCCTTGCCCTCACCACTATGGATAATAAGCCACAAAAATTATTAAATAAACAAATTAAAATGATTTCCTCTATTACGGAGAGCAGTTTTCCCAATGAGCCAACTGAGGAATCTACCAACAATGCACTTGAGTCTAACGAGAATGTTGAAAAAGGTGTTGATGTTGATGTTGATGTTGATGTTGGTGTTGATGCTGATGCTGATGCTGATGTTGTAGTAATTAGTGCCACTGAGGGCGAAACGGTAAAGGTGGCTAAGAACAAATCAAGTAAATCGAGAAAAATTCGGCGCAACAAAGGAAGTAATGAGGTCATTGAAGTCTACGATAACGATGATAATGATACTGACGTTGAGTTTGTTAGCGAAACAAAATATATGGATACCGAAATTGTCATCACTGCTGATGTTGTGGCAAATCAGAGACGTGCCACTGAGCGACCAAAATTTATGCGTGAGTTTCGATCGAATTCGACTTGCGATTAGTATAAAAATTAGGAGGCAATGAAAGGGAGGGAGCGAAGGTTTTAAAACGAAAGTAAAGTTTTGTCTAAAATAGAAGGGACGTGAGATGAGTAAAATGAGAGTGGAATGCAAAAGTAATTACCATGATAAAAACTTTACAATAATTATAATTTTTGTATTATGGTAATTACGATAGAGGAATACTTTTCTCAACGAAAAAAAAAAAACTGAGTGAAGCTCTCAAAACGAGGAGACATTTTTTTTATAGTGGAGCGTTTGTTAGTTGTGAAATACGACAAACGATTACTTTTTTTTAAGCAATAATTTTTGGGAAATTTCAGAAGGTATCCATTATACATATTTCAAGAGGAAAACAATAAGCTAGCGGCGTTAGTCCTTAGAAAATAGTATTAGTCGTTTCGCGGAAGCAGTGCGAAAAGCCTAAAGCTTTTAAATATTTAAAAATTCGTCTGCATTTGATCCCAGTGTAAAAAATGTCACGGCTTTTTAGTGTTAGAAACCTTAAATGAAATACAAATTTATCCATTTGGCAGCTCAGTTGTCAATTATTTACACGAATGATTGCATGAATTGTTCAACAATACACAATCTCAAAAACGTTAAAAAAAAATGTGTCAAACTGTCCCTATAAAATAGCGGAAAAAACTGTGTGGCATAATTTCTTTTTATAAATTAAGCCATCAAATTACATAGGTACATACATACAATATATTTTTTATACATAAAAGTATGAGGTGAAGGAAACCAAAGCAGCGTACACATGTTTGAAAAATTTGTTCCTTTTAGTTATTATTAAGATCTTTTATTTGATAAAAAATTAAATTTTATCTGTGGCATGCACAGTTTTGAAGTTAATTGCATAATAAAAACAAAAAAAAATATTTTAAGAATTTTACCGAAAAAAGCGAAGCTTCTAGACTACCGAATAATCAGTTTTGTGTAACTGTAAATGAAAAGCAAAATGAAATTAATGTATTATACATTTAACTAATCTGTGTTTTGGCTGTGAAACAGATTATTATTAACCAGAAAAAATAAAATAAAAACTTGAATTGAAATGAAATATATAATTTAATGCAAAGGCAGTAAACTTGCCCAAAATTTTTGAAAACGAAAAAAAAAACATGCATTAAAATTAAACAAAATAAAACACAAAATCGAGTTGAACACAAGTTTCACAAAAAAAAAAATGTTTTGCAAATTTTGTAGTTTTTTAGTAAAGTAAATATGCAAGCATTAATACGGTAAAATAGAAAATACAATTAAGCAATTACAAACACCTACACACACACACACACAAAAGCAAACAGGGCCCAGTTTCGTGCAATGATATAAATTTATAAAAATGTGGAGAAATTGAAAATTTATTAAAAAATTATTACGTGATTTTTTTTTTTGCACTTTAAGGGCTGCATTTATAGTGCGGTGTTAACTCACATTCGTCGGTAACTTTCAATTTTTGTTGGGGAAATCGATAGTTAATTGCCGATTTTGAATTAACTTGCCGCTGTGAAGAAGGCTAAGATTCTTTTAACGCGTATTATACACTTTTTGTAACAAAGTTCAGCCAGTTTTTTTTTATTCCAACGAACGTAAGCTTTGTTTTTGTAAAGCTTAATCGAATTACACGAGGGGTTTCCCTTTATTTTTTTTGGCAAGCGTAAGCGCAAATTAGTTTTGAGGTATGTACGAATTTTGCTAACCACCAAAAGGCTTCCCTCCCAATAGGCAATTCAATGAATTCAAGTGCTTCCTAAGGTTGGCGATACACAAATGGACCAAATACTATATAAATACGAATACGAATATGCCAAACTAAATTTTGATTGAAGTAACAAAAAAAATATATATATTAAGTTAACTAACTTCTAACTTCAATTTTGATTTGCTAAATATTAAAAAAAAGCTGCTCATTTCGATGAAGTAAAACCATGACCCTTCTTATTCTTCTTCTTTATTGGCGCTGTAACCGCCTAAGCGATTTTGGACGAGCCCAAAACAGCACGCCAGTCGTTACCAGTGACCCTAATCGTTACAATTTAATATGTAGGTATTATTTTATAGCCTTAGAAGTCATTTTTATTTTTTCGGTCATATATAAATGTTTCAGTTTTCAACCATCATAAATTAGATTATTTGAAAACTTAATCGCACAGATGAAAACCATAAATATTTACAGAAAGAAATTAAAAAAAAAATAAAATAAAATCGATTGAAAAATTTGCAACCTCAGTTCAGCGGTTCGAACCGTTTTAGCACCTTTGGATTGCTACGTCAAAACTTTTTTTTGTCTTTCAACCGGGATTTCGGTCCGGGAATTAAAAAAACTCGGTGAAAATTTCATTTTGAATATGGAAAATTGCGGTTTGGTCAATAGATCAGTTAATTAGTAGAAAAAAGCTGTTAATCCGGTTCAAAACCGCTTCACGCCCCTCTTAAAAATTATTAACTAACTTAACTGAAAAATTTATCAAATAAAAATTGTAAAATATTTATGAAGATCATCGAAAAAGTATACTGCCTTATCCTGAGTTTTGCCTGAAAAAAAGTTCACCCGAAAATTTGTCATACGCCCATAGTAAAACCATGGAAACCAAGAGGGAAAACCGGTTCGGGGAAAATGAAACTCATGATAGGGCTGATAGTCATAAAAATAAAAATCATAAAAATAATATAGAGAAAAATTAAAATTAAAAAATATCGATCAGAAATAAAAACCTTGAAATATCAATAGATAAAATAATCGACATGTATGTATGGGTCATAAAATATCGATCAAAATTTAAAATACAGATAGATACATTAGGTATTGTCGAAAAAATCTAAAAATAGCGATAAAAAAGCATTCGAAAAATAATGTCACAGAACATCAATCAGAAAAAGTAGTTAAATTGGAAATCATGAAATATCGATAATCGATAAAGCAAAAATCATAAAGTAAAGTATTGATCAGAAATTATTTGTAAAATAAAAACCCTAAAGTATCATAATTCATAAAATCATCTTAAAACATTGATAACAATTTATCGTAAAAAATCAAAAATACCGATACAAGGTTATCAGAAAAAATAAAAATCCTAAAATATCTGTCAGAATTAATCTGTAAAATAAAAATCATTAAATATTGAAAGCAAACCGTGTCGTAAATATATATCAGAAAAATACTGAAAATCAATACAAACTTATCGAAAAAATTATAAATGGATACAAAAAATTATCGGCAAAATAAAAATCATAAAACATAAATACAAATTATCGAAAAAATTAGAAAAAAACATAAATAAAAAAGTCCTAAATTGAAAAAATTATATCACTAAACATCGACAAAAATGGCAAATGTAAAATTTCACAAAATATTCATAAAATTAAAAATCAGAATATCGATCAAAAACTGTACCTACATAGCACACTGGTAGAACATTGCGTATGAGTAACTTTTTCCCAGCTCATACATACATACATATGTATATCATTATAATGTTCATTCCAAATGAATGATAAAAGAAGTTCACCCCGATTAACTTTGATGGAACAACCATTCTTCAATTTGAAGATTCATTCATAGTGACGGCACAAACGGCAAAGAAAGTAGACCATACATCCCCGAGTCGTAAAGTATTTTGCAATGCAATTTCGAAAGAAAAATTTTGTTTCGTTTTCTTACATTTTTCTTAAAGTTGGATACTACTTATCCACCAGATCTCTTTTCAACCTAACGTACCACCCTAATGCCAGTGAATTACAGCTCACCAAAAATTATTAAACTTTTGTTTAGGAATCATTTTGATTATTCCAGTAAAACTCTTTAAAACAATTTGTATTTCCGAATGTAAAAAAATCCGAAATTGCCTTTTGCTAGAGTACTTTCTACTGAGGGGTTTACGGCGAGCTTTTTTTTTTTTTGGTATGCAGCAGTAAGAAAAAATAGTAAGCCTAATCTCGGGTTCATTACTCCGATCCATATCTGTGGTAGCACTTGAATTCAGCCTCAAAAACAAATGCTAGATTATTGGCTTAAACTCCAAAAACTAGAAAGAAGCATTCTTCGTAGAATTGCATACGATTCTTTCGTTGGAGATTTTCGAGACCTCTTCTAGTTTAAGGTAATACACCTAATAAAACTAAAAAAAAAATTCATTTAATGTATTATGCACTTCAAAGGTGCACAATCACAAATGCATACATACATACATAAGTATAAGATTTGTGCATAATATGTATATGTATTAATACTATATTTAATAAATTTTATTTAATTATAAGCACAAATGCAATTACTTTTAAAGATATTTGATATAATCTTTGACGTCTTATGTGCATATTTTAACTGCGTATATGTATGAGTATGTAAGTAGATATAGCATTGGCTGGCACACTACTACTTTTATCGCTTAGGTTTTGCTTAGGTATCACCTAAACATAAGACCGTATTCAGTTGAATTTTAAAAATTGCAATAAAGAGTATTTACTTAGATATTTTATCTAAAAAAAAATTTTGGAGAAAACGAAACAACTACTGCTTTTTACCGCTTTATTTCACTTCTCACATATGGATTTAATTGAGCTCATCGTTCGACCAGTAAACTAAACATGCATGCTTTCAACAGTATATACACAAATGGTACGGACTTGTTGTTTTTGGTGGTGGAGTTGCTTAAAAATTCATAACATGTACATACATATCATAAATAGCAACATCATACAGATAAATATGTTTCACGATTCCTTCCATACATCTGTATCTGTCGCCAGCATTTATAATGTCTTTGTGTCAATGATGAAATTTAAGAGAAGAAATGAAAAACTTTTTAAGTTAAAAAAGGAAATGGTAATTCCGAAATACTTTTTGAGCTATTCTAAGCAAGCTAGTTCCTCAAAACATTACTTGGGCTATTTTGGGTTAATAACGACGAAATAAGCTGCCAAAAGTTGCAAATTTGTTTATAGAAAATTCAAAACTATTTTAACTTTTGACTTGCATCCCGAAGAATTAATTTAACGACAATATTTGTTTAGTTTACATTAGACTGGGTCGCGAGAAAAATTGTAAAGTTTTTTTTTAAGAAAAATATGATGTGGATAAAAAAGTCGTTGGGTGTTTTTTGTAAGTTTTTCAAAGTCATTTATATATATAAAAGCCAATTAATTATATATTCTCCCTGCTGTTCGACCACAATTTGTAATTAGGTAAGCTTCCCCATTTGTAGAAGGATCTTTATTCATTTGTGAAAAACAAAAAAAGGTACTGATTTACCTCCTCTTCTGAATTATTATTCAAGGCAAGTTAGTTATTCCACGCAAGATGTATTTAAGTAAATGAAACAATTGGAAGTCTTCCGGCACAAGTTCAGGCGAGAAAGTTGGGTTTGGCAAAAATTCGACCTAGCTTTAGTAAATAGACGGATAGCTAAAATCGTGTGTGATTCCAGGTTCACACAGGTGATTCCAGGCAGGTTTTGACGTCATGGAACACAACTCGTTTTAGATTGACAAATTCAGGACGTTTCTGGATGACCGATACATTTAAACTGCACTTTTGAGGGACAGTACTCATCTAAAGTGATTGTTTTCTAAAAATTCATAAACCAAAAACCTTTTCCGATTCCCCTATATTGGGAGCATCATAGCCTTCCTTTGATGAAATTCTAACATAACTTTGGA